ATGATCTGAGGTGGGACAGTTTCATATTGAAACGGTTTCAATATGAAACTGTCCCCTTGTCCCTGGAAAAATTGTCTTCCACAAAACTGGTCCCTGGTGCCAAAAAGGTTGGGGACTTACTGCTTTACCGTAATTCCTTTGTACCTCTTATGACATATTTTAGTTATTTGTTATAGTTTTTTCTGCCCATATTAGATTATGAATCCTTCTAGGGCAGTGTAGGTGACTTTCATTATTTGTTTTTAGGAACCTAATACATATTTGTTGAAGAAATAAAAGGAAAGATGGATGAGTAGTAGGTACCTTTAACGTTGTCCTGTAGTTTCCTTGTGTATGAAAGGAAGGGAGATGAATTTTATTTTAAAGAATCTGAGAATAAAAGCCTCATTTTTTCCCCTCCTCCATTAAGATTTTTAATTCAATTAAATTAACTGATTAATTTATTTTTTAGAGATGGGGTCTTGCCTCGTTACCCAGGCCAGAGTGCGGTGGTGTGATCACAGCCTCAAACTTCTGAGATTAAGCAATCCTCCTGAGTAGCTGGGACCACAGGCACACACCACCACACCCAGCTAATTTTTGTATTTTTAGTAGAGACAGGGTTTCACCATGTTGGTCAGAATGGTCTCAATCTCTTGACCTCGTGATCTGCCTGCCTCGGCCTCCCAAAGTGCTGGGATTACAGGCGTGAGCTACCATGCTGGGTCACATGTTAGGAATTTGATAAATATTTGTTAAGTAAATGAATGAATAAGTGGGTGATTTCTGCTTTACATGATGGAAGGCTAGGTAACTAACCAAACTGAAAGTTGAAATTAGAGGAAACTGCAAGATTGCTTTGAATCAAAATAGATAAAAAACAAAGATTTCCAGAACACATAAGGCAATTGGGGGAAGACCAAGTAAAATCTAAAAATAATTTACTTTTGTGGGGTTACTGCTTTACAGGTATCTTATATTGGAGAAGGCATCAGATGAACTTGTTGAACGAAGTCACATTTTTAGTAGCTTTTTCTATAAATGCTTGACAAGAAAGGAAAATAATTTAACAGAAGATAATCCAAATCTTTCGTAAGTTAATCCTCTAATGTACTTAAGTTTTAAGAGAAAATATACTATTTTTATGCACCTAGTAAAGTGGCTTCTTCATAGTATTTCCTAGAGTAGGCAGTACTACCATTTGTGCAGGTCCTGGGTCTGTTTGCCACGAGAGCCATTTCTCATTCTTCCACTGTTTTGCTGCCCGTGACAGGGAGGCTGACACTTGCAGTCTGCATTTCCAATTGCTTGTCCCCGGGGAAAATCCTGGAAGTTGGAGGGCAAGGAAGAAAGCAGCTAGGTTATTTCTTCCCTACTCCCTTTGCACTGGGAAATGATTCTGACAGTGGCTGTATTTCCTGAGTCCACCTCTCACAGGACAGTCCTGCTATAACTCCAGCTTCCATCTGGAGGTACTGCTTCTTCTCTTTGCCCTCTACCCTACAGGTATAGCAGTTTCCTCCTCTGCTAATCTTTGGCTGTCTCACTGTCCCCATTTTTGGCTTTATGTTTTTTTGTTTTTCTTTTTTTGTCAATGCTGTAGCCAATTTCCTGCATTACATTCTATGTGTTATATAGGGTTGTTTTTGTTTTCCTGGTTGGACCCCCAATGACAGACTATTTAATTAAACCTATGCTACATTATATGAAATACCATATTTGTTTGCATAATGTAGCTGATTTTTGCCCAAGTATTTTTTTGATTAATACTAAAACTGTGGAGCAGTGGCTAGGGATAGGCAAAAAGGAGGTATTTCTTAGACAGTAGAAACTTGGATAGTTGTTGCAACATAAGGCATTTCTCCCCTTTCCCCATACTTAACAATTTGTGTGATAATCTGAGTAGACTCATGATAAAACTGAGTTATTGTTATTTTAAAAGTTAACGTAAACATTTCTCTACTGTTTTACAATTTACAATTCCATTTATTGACATTATTTCAGTTTTTCCTATCATGACGGTACCTTTTGATAGGGCATATAAACTGTATCCCAGTTTTTCAGATGAGGAAGCAGTCTAATGAAGATTAATAAATTTTACTTAAGATGAACAGCTAGTGAATGGCAGAACTGGTTGGTACTTAAATCTTTACCTTTTAACTTCTAATCCAAAGTTTTTATTGTACTAGATTGCTTTAAAAAATGGCTATGAGAGTTTGATTCATCTCATTAAAATAATAGGAATAATAAACAAGTTAGAAGAGGATTAATGGATAAACTGCTTGAATTTGATATATTGTTGGAGAAAGAGGGTAGGAATAGAGAGACTAATTAATATTTATTGAATGCCTGCTAGGAACTAAGACAGTGAACATAAAGTTATTTGATTCTACAGTATTATTGTCATTGTCTTTATAAATTGAAGCTTAAAGAAGTTATATAAGTTTTTCAAAGTTGGATATAGCTTTCCAGTTTCAAAGTTCAGCTCTTTCTGTTGTTCATAGTGTTGTGACTGTCTAATTAATGGTCTAAATTGGGACGCTTGTGAGAAAAATAGGAGGCTCTGTCAGTGGGTACACTAGACAACGAGCGCGTATACCAGGGCTTTCCTAGACAAACTGGGATGTATGATCAGCTCCATTTTTAGAGTCTTTATAGGTCTAGAATTTGTCCTGATGGACAAGACCTGCCAGGATCAATTAAGGAGAAAACTGCAATTTGAAAATATTTCTGATAATCAGGGCTAGTGGAGAGGGATATATGGAAGGGGGAGATTTATTAAATAAATTAGATAACATTTCTGATGCTCTCCTGTTCTGTTTTATGTATGCAGATTTAATGATTGGTACTATGCACTTAATCTCATGTTTTATTTTAAGATTATTCAATGTAGAGATTGTGAATTTTGTATACTCACCTTCCTACTAAGGAAATGAAAGTAGATAGATTCTGCTATATTACAGAGTTTTTTCAAAAAACAGATATTATGTACCTGATTATTATGTACATAATAAATATAAAGTTACGTGAGTGGCATCCTCTAGGGTAAGATGCATAAGATACTAACATACACATGCACACGCACACACCATGCACACGAATGTGTGAATACTAATGCTTGGTCTGTTAAGCATTCACACAACTTGATATATCAGACCGAGCATTAGTGTTTACACAAAGAATCTCTACAAATCAGTTTTTAAAAGTCATCAGAGCAGCAAGAGATATGAATTTTAATGGCCAATAAATCCACACCAAAAGGCTCAAACTACTAGTGTTAAGAAGCCACAGCTTCCTTACTATACTTTATGAGATCCCGCAAGATCTGGCTTCTTTCCATCTCCTTAAACTCATCTCATAACATTGTTTCCTCTCGTTTACCATACTGACGTTCAACCTACCTCCTTTCCACTTTCAAACGTGCTGACCTCTTTCCTATTTTCTGCCTGAAACAACTTATCCTGGCATTTAAAAAATTTGTTTCACAGCATGATCTCTAATCATTTTATTCGTTTGTTTGCTTCTTCATTTTCTGTTTCTCATTTGAAGCTACATGAAGTTAGGGACTTATCTGTCTTATTTTCCACTCTATCCCCAGTGCCTTGTTCAGTGCTTGGAACATACTAGGAACTCAAAATACGAGATGATAACAGTGCCTGTTATTGATTACTGAGATAACTGTTGGACATTTAGTTGAAGGTTTTGTACACAGGAACTGAGAATAGGAGATTATGTTTGGCCCCTATATTCTGCCCTATCCATCCTCCTTGCCTCATTCTATGTCTAATACATTCTCAATCAAATAAGGTTAGCATAATCAGGAAATGGACCAAATACCAATATAAAACCAGATGTCTGTCCTTAAGATTTTCAAATAGAAAACAAATTAACAGACTACGCACTAGTTGAAAGTAATTGTTTATAGTCATTATAATGGTTGGGTCCTTCTGAAATGAGAAAATTCAATAAACATATGACTTTGATTTTTTTGTGTGGTTAATCTTCCACATAGTGTCTAATTGCTGTCAAATCTTTTAGCTCATTCTGGATCCTATGTTACTCCTAATGTTTACCCATATGGTTTTGTTTAGATATTATTCAGATGAACAAGATGGGGCAATGATTTCTGTTTCCTGTATGACTTGATAAAAATTATATAAGAACATAATGGTTTGCCTTTTTTCCCCCTGCAATAAGAGTTCTATCCAAGGGACTGAGCCAGAAGTCACATATCACCTTTATCGCCCTGTTAAATGTCATTTTCTTCCTTCCTAAAACCTTTCTTTTGACAGTCAAACTTGGTTTTGTATCCTTCTTTTTTAACTCCCCTGATTAGGTAAAGAAAATAAACTAGTGTTTGTGTGTATGCAAGCCAACCCTGTTCAAGGTGGCTGTATCAGATGCTTTAATAACGGAGTCCCCAGCCCCTGGGCTTCAGACTGGTACCAGTCCATGGCCTGTTAGGAGCCAGGCCACTCAGCAGGAGGTGAGCGAGCATTACCGCCTGAGCTCTGCCTCCTGTCAGATCAGTGGCAGCATTAGATTCTCACAGGAGCACGAACCCTGTTGTGAACAGTGCGTGTGAGGGATCTAGGTTGCGTGCTCCTTATGAGAATCTAACTAATTCCTGATGATCTGAGGTGGGACAGTTTCATATTGAAACGGTTTCAATATGAAACTGTCCCCTTGTCCCTGGAAAAATTGTCTTCCACAAAACTGGTCCCTGGTGCCAAAAAGGTTGGGGACTTACTGCTTTACCGTAATTCCTTTGTACCTCTTATGACATATTTTAGTTATTTGTTATAGTTTTTTCTGCCCATATTAGATTATGAATCCTTCTAGGGCAGTGTAGGTGACTTTCATTATTTGTTTTTAGGAACCTAATACATATTTGTTGAAGAAATAAAAGGAAAGATGGATGAGTAGTAGGTACCTTTAACGTTGTCCTGTAGTTTCCTTGTGTATGAAAGGAAGGGAGATGAATTTTATTTTAAAGAATCTGAGAATAAAAGCCTCATTTTTTCCCCTCCTCCATTAAGATTTTTAATTCAATTAAATTAACTGATTAATTTATTTTTTAGAGATGGGGTCTTGCCTCGTTACCCATCTTGCCTCGTTACCCAGGCCAGAGTGCGGTGGTGTGATCACAGCCTCAAACTTCTGAGATTAAGCAATCCTCCTGAGTAGCTGGGACTGACTGTTGGTGTATGCCACCACTCTGGCTGATTTTCTTTATATTTTTAGTGACAGAAGTCTCACTATGTAGGCCAGTCTAGCTTTGAACTCCTGATCTCAAGTGATCCTCCCACCTTAGCATCCCAAGTAGCTGGAATCACAGGCATGAGCCACCACACTCAGCCCACTGAGTTTTAAAACCTCCCTAATGACAGATATAACAGTTGGAGAATTCTGTTAAGGTTTAATGACAGTGTTTTATATCATGCCTAGCTGGAGCTAAGCAAAATAAACAGATTTAACTGTGTTTATACTAAGTTGCACGGCAGGTTTTGGAATCTAAAAAGCATTTAATAAATTGCTGCCTTATTCTGTCCATTTCATTATTGTTTATAGTTATTAAATTTAAGAATAACCAGGGGTTACTATAAGGGGATACATTTATAATGTGTTAAATATTATATATCTTAAAGAAGATGACTAAATAAACTAAATTTAAGATATTACAGTATATAAAAATGGCTCTTGAAGTCCCTGACTTAAATGAAAAAATTTTTACATATCTTTCATATTCTCAGAATGGCACAGAGAAGACATAAAAGAGTAAGAACATGGACTCGTCACATAAACATTTTTAATAAAGATTACATCTTTGTACCTGTAAATGAGTCGTAAGTATTTCAGATTATTTAAGAACGTATTGGAAAGAATTCAGAAAAAAATTGTATGGTGTTTTTAGATTCAAAATCAGTAAAAATTATGGGCACATACATCTCAGGTATTATTTTATTTTATTTTTTATAAAAGTAGCTAAGGCAATGAATTCCTTATCTTGGATTTTGGTTTGACAATGGTTATGTTGTAAAAGTAGTGAAAAAAAAAATAAAGTGACAAATGACCACAGACTATAATGACTGAGACATTGAATGTTTTTTTGTTTGGATTAAGGAAAAAATTTTCTAAATAAAAGAAATATTTTTGATTGAATCTTCAAATACTTAAGAAAACAAACTGTTCGGCTGGGCGCGGTGGCTCAAGCCTGTAATCCCAGCACTTTGGGAGGCCGAGACAGGCGGATCATGAGGTCAGGAGATCGAGACCATCCTGGCTAACACGGTGAAACCCCGTCTCTACTAAAAAATACAAAAAACTAGCCGGGCGAGGTGGCAGACGCCTGTAGTCCCAGCTACTCGGGAGGCTGAGGCAGGAGAATGGCATAAACCCGGGAGGCGGAGCTTGCAGTGAGCTGAGATCCGGCCACTGCACTCCAGCCTGGGCGACAGAGCGAGACTCCGTCTTAAAAAAAAAAAAAAAAAAAAAAAAAAACTCTTCAAGCACCAATACGAAAAAAATAATGCTATGAGTCTATTTATTAAGGCAGGTCCTTAATAGGAAACACTGATTGTATGAAAGTAAATTAAATTTGAATTACTCATCTGTTACCCTAAATAGTGTTACTTATGCCTTGGTAACTCTGGATATTTAATTAGTGTTGGTATGTATGCTCTGTGTTATAATGAGATATCACAGTGGATGTCTTCAAAATTAATAGGAAATATTATTCTCACTTGCTCAGATGTATCTCTAGAATGTATTATATGTTGTTTAGACTTTGCATGGTATTAAGATTGTAGTTCTTTTTCCACAGGTCTCACTGGTATCTCGCAGTCATTTGTTTTCCCTGGTTAGAAGAAGCTGTGTATGAAGATTTTCCACAAACTGTATCCCAGCAGTCCCAGGCTCAGCAGTCCCAAAATGACAACAAAACAATAGGTGACATCCATAACGCAGATGGTGTTTTTAATAATGATGACAATAATATAATGGTTACAGGCAAGAAAATGAAGTTAATGGTAGTGTAGTTATTTATTATCATTAAACCTACTTTAGCAGGATGAATAAAAAATCTGAAATTTGTAATGATAGACTCATGTATAGACAAAATATAATTCTGAAGTTGTATTCTTATATCAAGTTTTATTATGGCACTTAAAAATTACTACTTATCGATCTTATGAAATATTTCAAACATACAAAAAGTATAACTAATATGACCAACATCAATACCTGTTTCACCTGGATTAAGAAATTAAAACTTTTCCGATATAATAATAATAATCTCCTCTGTGACCACTCCCATTTCACTTTGTTTAATCCAGAAGTAACCACTACCCTAAATTTTATGTTTATTCCATAATGTATGGAATAATATGTACTATTATTTCCATTGACATTTTTTGCTTGTTTTAACTTAAAAAAATTGACAGATAAAATTGCATGTATTTACTATGTACAACATACTTTTTTTTTTTTTTTAAGAGATGTTGTCTTGGTGTAGTGCAGTGGCTCAATTATAGCTCACTGCAACCTTGAGCTCCTGGGCTCAAGTAATCCTCCTGCCTTACCCTCCTGATTAGTCAGGACTACAGGGTTACACCACTTTACCTGGCTTATTTTTAAATTTTTTCTTTTGTGAAGATAGGATCTCACTATGTTGCCCAGGTGGGTCTGGAACTCCTGGCCTCAAGCAGTCCTCACACCTCAGACTCCTAAAGTATTGGGATTACAGGCGTGAGCCACCACATGTGGCTACAGCATGATATTTTGAAATATATATACGTTGTGGAATGACAAAATCTAGCTAATTAATAGTATTATAACCTTTTAAAAAATACACTAGGTTTGCTAACATGACTAAGAATTCATGCCATTGATTTCCAGGCAATGCTTGAAATCCCCCATTTTTACTTAATCTAATTTCTTGTAGACTCTATTAATTTGGTTAGGTAATATAGGATCTCTTATAATTTTTCCACGAGTTTTCTTACAAGCCAGAATCTAAAGTAAATAAGCCTACTTTCTTTGAGAAAAAAGTAACAAAATTAAGTGTTTTATAGCTGTAGCCTAGGCAGTAAGCTGATTGAAAAATAGCTGTTACCATTAATACTGGCCAAAACTGATGTGGGGAAAAAGACAAACTGATGAAGCAACTGATTATGTTTAATTATCTTGAAACCTCTTAAGCCTGAGATGTGTACTTACACAAAACTGTATGGTCATAGTTAGAAGCACCATTGTTAGGCAGATTAACTACCTTCTGCATTAAATAGCAGACATTTTGATTAATGAGCTGTTTTTGAATATTATCTTTTTATAGAGAATTTGCCTAGCTAACTGGTATTTCAGATCATGGCTCTGGGGTTTACCTGTTATTTGATAACAGCCAACTATTGTCAGTTTTATCTGTTGATTGAATTTTATTCATAACATTGATCATGAAAAAAATTAAATCTCAAGTATTTTTACTGTGCATCCAGTAACTGCATGAAAATTATAATTTTAAGCTTTTCTAAATTACCTGTATAAAAATACAATAAACATTCATAATTGCTTAATTATTTCTAACTAGATAATGATCTACATACTACTTCGACACTGTCTTTGAGTGCAGAGGATTCCCAAGTAAGTGTGTTCTTCACAGATGGGAAGGAAGAAAACTCATGAATATAATAATGTTATCTATAAAATAGAGCATAGCTAGGTGGACTCTACTGGCCCATCATTAGATTGTGCTGCTTTGTGATTCTTTTGACAGTTTTTGTGGGACTGGGGAAGAGAACAAAATACATTATTATTCTTATATCTGTTTAGCTTGCTTTAACTTTCTAGATTATTTAGTAGTTTATCTGATGTTCATCTTGGTTAACTACTTTTCTAATTTCTAAGGATCAGGTTTACTTTTATTCTTTTTTATGTCAGTAATTTTTTGAACTTAGGTAATTAATCCTCTTAAGCACATTGTATATTCTACTTTATTTTCTTTCTTCCTTTTTTTTTTTTTTGTGATGGAGTCTTCCTGTCACCCAGGCTGGAGTGCAGTGGTACGATTGCAGCTCACTGCAACCTCCCCCCCCTGGATTCAAGCAATTCTCCTGCCTGGCCTCTCAAGTAGCTGGGACACAGGTGCTCACCAGCATGCACGGCTAATTTTTGTATTTTTTTTTTTTAAATAGAGATGGAGTTTCACCATGTTGGCCAGACTTGTCTCTCACTCCTGACCTCAGGTGATCTGCCTGCCTGGGCCTCCCAAAGTGCTGAGATTAGAGGTGTGAGCCACTGAGCCCTGCCAGAAAATTCTTTGTAAAAATCGTTCAAGGTAGACTCAAAGTGAATCCGTGTAACTCCTTAGGCTAAAACAGTTATCATTAACTCTTCTTTATTTGGCGCTCCAAACTGATCTGCATAGCCTAGGTTCAGTGTTCTAAATTGATTAAGATTGCCATTTAATGATTTTTTTTTTTTTTTTTTTTGCATGTACAAATAGCAGCAGACTCCCTGGCACAGGCCTATGTCTTTACTGTCACTGATATGAAGTGTCACTTCTTACGGAGGAAGGTTTCCTTTCCTGCTGTCACAGTGGCAAAACAGGAGCATTCCTTCTTGCCTCTAGGGCCAGATTTCTCAAATTGAGTTTGTTTGGATATTCATTCTGAGACACAGTTCATGATAAGCAGGATTCCAAGGCAATTAAGTTGGGCAAACTTTGTATACTCTTTCTGTCTTAGAGAGCCATTGTGTATAGTAGAATAATACAGGCACTGAGAAGGTCTGCATTAAATAAATCTGTTTAAGTTTGGTCTGTGGTTTCTCAAACTTATGAAGAAAACAAATAACATCAACAAAACAAAATTCCTTATTCCTTTTCCCTTGTAGATTAAGGTTAAAGTGATAATCTTAACCTAATATAGATTAAGGTTCTGCATCTTATGCTTCAAAGGGAAGAAATGTGTTCCTACTGACATCATAAATTGGCGAATGTATGTAAAGACACATTAAATTAACTTGTTTATCTTTGCTTAAGATAATAACTTGGAATGGAAGTAATTAAAGTTCCAGATTGCCTTTTAGGACAAGTTAAAACTCCTTAACTACTTGAGACTGCATGTAAAAATATATAGCCTACTGTTTTAGCAGTATAATAAAATCAATACATTTGTGGAAAATAAAGTTAGCTCACTTTTGATGATGAAAATAACTATTATTTGACATTTTAATTTCAAAGTTTGAAACACTTTAAAGGAGTAACTGAATAGTAAGTTATTCAAAATAGCTTTAATTGCAGTCATAAAAATTTATGTTATTTCAGAATACCGAGTCGAGTATGTCAGTACCAAAGAAAATGTGTAAAAGGTAGGTACATACTGTAATAAATAATACAGTTTTTTGAGGTATTTAGATATACTTTGTATACAAGTGTGTAAATCTTGATTTTGTTCTTTGCTTTTCATAGGCCATGTATTCTTATACTAGACTCCTTGAAAGCTGCTTCTGTACAAAACACAGTTCAGAATTTACGAGAGTAAGTAATGACAGTTTTACCATTCAGTCTGTCATCTAAATCCTCAGTAATTTTGAAGTTACCTTCAGAATTATTGAAAAGACTATATCAGGAATTATATTTTATTATCTATTTCAACAAGCCTTATAAATTTAATCAGTAATATCTTTAATTCTGTTAATATTCAATATTAATATTTCTAAAGGATTATATTAAAGGTAAATTCAGAATTTGTATTCATAATTGAACAGAAAGTATAGTTTTACAAAGAAACATTGCATTGATTATCAAAAGTACCACTTTAGAAAAAAGTAGGAACTCTTTCACATTTGTATCATTATGTGTATGTATGTGTAATTTTGTAATTTACTGTAGTACTTGGAAAAAACTAACGATGAAACTTTTAAAATGATTTCCTAGTTTCCTTTATTGAGTTGTGAAAGTTGAGTTGTTGAAAAAAGTCTAGCTTTATAGTTTGAAAATCACATTACATATTTTCTTTAAAGTAGCACTTGAGAGCCTCAAAAGGTAGGTTGCACTGGTAAAATTCAGTCTGGAAATTTGGCTTGAGACATCACATCTGGCAACAAATGTTTTTCCGCCTTTGTGAAAATGTTGCATACTGATAAAGAGATTTCTACTTTAGTCACTCTATTTGTTGATTATTTCAGGTATTTAGAGGTAGAGTGGGAAGTTAAACTAAAAACTCACCGTCAATTCAGCAAAACAAACATGGTGGATCTATGCCCTAAAGTTCCTAAACAGGACAATAGCAGTGATTGTGGAGTATATTTATTGCAATATGTGGAAAGCTTCTTCAAGGTATGTGAAGCTATAAATAAGTTTTTAATTCACGATTACCACCATGCAGTCATAAGTTACTGAGTGTAATAGTCCGTTCTCATGCTGCTAATAAAGACATACCTGAGACCGGGTAATTTATAAAGGAAAGAGGTTTAATTGACTCACACTTCAGCATGGCTGGGGAGGTCTCAGGAAACTTACGATCATGGTGGAAGGGGAAGCAAACATGTCCTTTTTTACATGATAGCAGCAAGGAGAAGAATGAGAGCTGAGCAAAGGGGGAAGCCCCTTATAAAACCATCAGATCTCATGAGAACTTACTATCATGAGAATAGCATGGGGGAAACCGCCCCCATGATTCAGTTACCTCCTACCACAGTGGGGATTATAGGAACTACAATTCAAGATGAGATTTAGGTGGGAGCACAGCCAAACTATATCACTGGGCGAGCAAAGAGGCAGGTAAATGTTACAGGTAATCAAGATTTTTTTTTAAAGAGAAAGAAATAGAACCACAGGTGATCCAGATACTGTAATTAGCAGATAAGAACTTTAAAATGATTTGATTAATAGGTTAGAGAAGATAAAGCCAAAGATGAAACAAAATGGATGAAGACATGGAGTATACAAAAGAAAGAAAAAATCAAATAGATGTTCTAGAGCTGAAGATGTGTAATGACATATCTGAAATTAAGAACTTATTGGACAAGTTTAATAGAGGACTAGATACAGTAGAAGATAGGATTAGTGAAATTAAAGGACAATAAAGTATCCAGCAATAGCCCAGAGAGAAAAAATAATGTAAAGAAGAGAACAGAGCTTAAGAGACAAATATGAAACAGTATAATTTACTGTTTGAAAGGTATAATTTACATGTTACTGGAGTCCCAGCAAGATTGGAGAGAAAGAGAATAGGGCAGAGACAGTATTTTAAATGAAAATTTCTAAAATGAAAAGATCTGTTTATTCAAGAAGCTCAGAAAACTATAGCTGGAGAAGTACAATGACAAACATAGGTGTTATTTTCTAGTTCACAGAGACTTTGTAGGAACTGTAGCAGTATTAAAAATGAAATTTTAAATAGCAAGCAATCGCTCTTTGCTTTTTGAACTGTCAGCTCATTACTTCAGTCATTACCACTATTATTTACGAAGATGGGTCTAGTAGCTGGATGTCTTTGACCAGAAGTCGGCTTGGAGGATGCTTAACGGTACTTAGAAAGCATGAGAGTTATAATATGCAGCTACAACTTTTTGATGTCTTTAATATGAGAGAGGAAGGATAATATATAGTAAAATACAGTACACATTTTGGAAATCATTAAATATCTATTATGTTGGGTTTTTTCCTCCCTTTTTTATTCTACACTAGAACTTCATCATTGGGTGTCAGGTTCTGGCCCTCTCATAGCCTTTCCAAATAGATTTGATTTTGTGTTTCGAATATCCAGATTGCCTTATTACATAATGTATTCCGAGTTTGTTTGTTACGTAATTCTACTTTATATAGCCCAGTCAATAGAATATACATCTAATACAGGATGAAGCACCATGTAAGATTCCTGGGAAAAACCTCAAAAATCTAAGCCTCGTGTTTTGTAAATTTGGTGCACTAATATAAGATAGCTTAGATTTAAAACATGGGCTTAAGGCAGATTGCTCAAAACCTATGGGACTTTGTAAGTAAGCCCTAATAAAAATAATATTACTTCTAATAAAAATATTGGCACAGTAATTCTCCACTAGCATTTGCTCCTGGACTCACAATCAGTCCATCCTTTCAGCCATACACCCTGGGCTCTTAATTCCTTCTTCAAGATGTAAGTCCTTCTTACCTCTGGCTTCTAATAATTTTATCAAGTTTATAAACATATGCTAAGGATAGCCCTTTTCAGAAATTTTTTTTTTTTTTTTTTTTAAACACAGGGGGAAACGTCCTGTGGTTGCAATTTGCGATTTCCTGGTTAAGCTTAACATCATTGAAACAGTAGTGATTCTTGAAGCCATAAGTCAGCTATTTCTTACACCGAAAGAAGGCACTTGGCAGGATTTTCCATTTTTAATCTGAGATTTTTCATTAACTACTAAGACTTTCTCTTTAATATTTCAAAATCTTAACATGTTGGGAAAAGTTGTGATAAAACCAACTTCATTCTGAATCATTCTTTATTTACCAATTCTGTTTGTGCTAATTCACTTAAACATACATTGTAGCAGAACAGAGTATTTAATTTTGATATTTAGAAGTTAGCAATTTGATAAAAATGTTCTAAAATTGATTGTGGAAGTGGTTACACTGTGAATATACTAAAAATGCTCAATTGTATGCTATTGGTGAATTGTATTATGTGAATTAGATCTTAATATAATTGTTATTTTAAAAAAGTTATCAATTTGTCATTTCTTATAAAAATGAAGTTAAAACAAATTTGAAATTATGCTGCTAAAGTGATTGCACTCTTTTTTTCCTCTCATTAGGATCCTATTGTTAATTTTGAACTTCCAATTCATTTGGAGAAATGGTTTCCTCGTCATGTAATAAAGACCAAACGGGAAGATATTCGAGAGCTCATCTTGAAACTTCATTTACAGCAACAGAAGGGCAGCAGTAGCTAGTTAATCTGTACAAACATGACACAGATGTTCTCTAAGATTACTGGAAAGCCTCTTACTAGCATTTGTGTTAGCCAGCTCACAGAGAAGAAAATAACTTGCAGTAGTTTTATAATAAGTCATTGGAACATTATTTAAAATACATAGGATATATTATTAGAATTGTTGGGATCTTATAAATGGAGTGGGAATGAGGGTGATACAGATAAACTTATTAGATATAAATTAAAATTTTATAAATATTTCATATTTTTCTGAGTAAATATGCTTGGATTATGCAATAGCATATGTAATATGGAAATGTTTTGTAGATAATAAAACTTACATGATCTGTACTTCCACATGACTGGGTGTTGAGGGGAGTGAAAGCCTCCCTGGTGCCAGCCCCAGTGCTTGTCAAATTTGTTGGCAAGTCACATCATATTGTAATTCTATTCTTTGCAGCTCAAGCATGCAGTATGAATACTGTGTATTTTTTAAAAAAGAATTTAGTATCAAGGCTTCAGAAAATGCCATTTATGGCATCCCTTCTGTATGTAACAAAAAGACATTCTTAATGTTAGGAAGATTATAAAAATTCGCTCTTTTAAAGTGCAGCTTATTATTCTCAATTGCTAAATGCGATTACGCTGCTCTTTTTTTTTTTCCATTTCTTTTGATGTCATATGTGAGCCTCCTATAATTTAGTTCATTTGTTCAGGGTAAAATCTGAAACAAAAAATTTTACCTGTGCAAAATAGTTTTTTAAAAATTATCCATGTAGCTCGACTTGAGGTACTGCTATATAAATATTCACTCTTACATTATCATGGAATTTATGTATAGTTTCTGTAATATACAAGATAAAATTGATGTCCTCATAACTTTAACAAAGAAAACCCTCAGTCCTATTTATTAATGGTTAGAATTAAATATATAATTTTATAGCTCAATTTACCCAGTATTCATTTGCAAAGCCAGATTGCTCTTACTGCTTTTATATTTTTAAATTGTAGCTTTTAGAGACCTATGATCCTCATGGAACTTAATTTTTTATTAAATATTCAGGTAACAGTTCTGAATTCATGTGATAATGGTGGCATTGTGTATGATTAAGCACTTCAGAACTTTCTAATGTTATCAGGAGTATTTTGAGGGAGATATGATTATATTGTATTTTCTCAGATAAGAAAAATGTTTTTTAACAATATTATTTTAATCTGTTTTAAGCATCTCTTAGATTTACATTATAACTATATAAAGCAGTGAAGCAAAGGCAATTTAAGATAAAGCTAGAAAGTCTGAACATTTTATTTCAAAATCATATGAATTGAGGTTGTCACTTAAGCCTCAGTATTCTTAGCTTTTGATTTTGTCGCTATCTTTATATTATTAAAGATATTTGTCTTTTGGATATTTCATATAAAGATGGCTATAATTACATATTTCATTCCCAATTTGTGTGTGTTGGGGGGTACTTTTAAAGGTGACTATTGTTTTGTACATCTAATTTTGGGAAAGCAAGTCTATAAGTCATCTTGTGATTTCTTAATGTTTTTGTTTGTATGTTTTTCAAAGATACCACTGTCCTTTATCATGTTTTGAAGATTGTTTAAAATTCGTTTTCCTAAATTAATGTGCAAATAATGTTTTGAGGATATCAGTGTTTTATATTAAACATATTTCCAATTCATTAAATTGAGGTGTAATTTTTTTCCTTAAGAAACATGAGTTACTGTTAGAAATAAATTTCCAGTTGTATGCTGCTCTGTGTATATCGTGAAATTGATGCTTATATTAATTTTTCCTCATAGTTTAATAAGCATATAGTTTGAGTGTCATTTCAGTTCAGGGAAATTATTTTAACATCTACTACTAGCAGGCATTTTGCTAGGCACAAAAAGTGAATGATAGCTTTTGTTCCTGAGTCATTTATGGACATGTGAACATTTTAAATATTTTCTGGTAAGAACAACCATAGTGTTGCTTTGGGAATGCAGGAGGGAGCTCAGCCTAGAGGGGTGTGTGTGTGTGTGTGTGTGTGTGTGTGTGTGTGTGTTAGTGAGGCGGTAGAGAGACAGAGGGCTGTTAGTGAACAAAGCAAGCCTTCCTTGAGAAGATAATATTATTTTAAATTCACAGCTCCTAGGATGTTACAAAAAAAAAAAAAATAGAAAAAATTAGCCAGGCGTGGTGGCGGGCGCCTGTAGTCTCAGCTACCAGGGAGGCTGAGGCAGGAGAATGGCGTGAACGCGGGAGGTGGAGCTTGCGGTAAGCCAATATCGTGCCAATGCACCCCAAAAGAATGAGGAGATCCCTGGGCGACAGAGCGAGACTCCGTCTCAAAGAAAAAAAAAGTTATTTAAATCATATCCAATCACCTAATTAGGACTTTTAAAAAGTTTAGTACCTTTTGAAATCAACTTATTTTATGCCAAGAGGAAAAATAGGTTTAGACTTGGCATATAGAACCCATCCTTAATCTTGTTCCAGCCTATATCCTATTCTCATCTTTCCATTGTCCTCTACTTTTGCAGTTGTATAAAAGTATTCGTTCATGCATTTAGGGTACTTCCCTCTGCAGTCTCTTGTAACTAAGCTTGTCCCTGTGGAAATTTGGAAACTTAGCCCATGCGTTGTTAAGAGGCACAGTTCTGTGTGTATGAGGCTTCTGTCTGCTTCTGTGGCTTGCTCCCACCCAGATAGTCCCTTCTGTTACAACTTCGTGCATCGTTCTTGGGGGCTGGAAAAATCAGAGTCAGGGCTTCTATAAAGACTCCAGATGAAGATGTACTTTACTTGAAATTGTTATTGTAACACTGTTTCCTGTGCCATGTTTCTCTACAAAGTAAGCCTGGAGCCACGTTTTGGACTGTTGTCCCATGAGTGTGAATGTCACTTTGAACCCAAGACTACAGATGCTTGTGTGGAGTGGGGGTTGTGACATTGTACCTCCATACCTTTTCACCACTTCTTGTGAACTTTATTTTTTCAAAATTGCACTTAAGTGTTACCACCCCTACACCTACTCAAACAATAATTCATTCCCCCTCCTGCTCCCCTGTAGCAATTCGTATATACTTCTCTAATTACTGTTTTATATTACTTGTATACACGTTTTTCTCCTTAGACTGTAAGCTCCTCAGAGACTGGAAGCATTTTTCCATTTCTGGCATTAAGTATCTTAGTAGCATATAGTAAACACTCAGAAAATTTTGTTGAGTCAATAATGATCCTTGACTGATTTGTAATTAAGTTTAGATGAAGGAATCTGTATTTGTTGTCTCTAAAGCACAGAGTTTTATGTTTAGTTTCTCATATGCTTATGATTTCTTGAAGCATAAAAGGTTCAAGGACCATCCTATGAGATTTTGAAATATTTCCTAAAAAGAATGTCCTTAAATAAAAGCTCAACAAATATATTTTTTGAGTAAACATTAGAGAGAGAATCTGTTTCATCTGTAGGAAAAAAATCCAAAATTCTTGCTAAAACTTTGAAGGTATTCCATAATCAATCTCAACTTTTCAGCCTTCATTCCCAATCTATTTGCTGTATGCTCTTATCCTGCTCTAGCAAATATCTTCCTATTTTCTTTATAAAACAGTGTACTTTTCCACCTTATTGATCACTACCAGGGATTTCTTTCCTAACTCTTCGTTCTTCCCACTAACAATCCTTACTTTTGCCCACTGAAATACTGAAATGCCAAGTAGGCCATTCAAGGCGCAGCTGAAATACCCACCCCCTGCTTCGCCCCCACCCCCTTTCTTTTTCTAGTTGGAGTTACTCTTGCTTTTGGATTCCTATGACACAAACTTATAGCAGGCATCACCTGCTTTGTATCGTAGATACAGTTATTCTAAGAATGATGCAGTTCAAAGTTACAAATAAATGTCAAGTTAAATTGAATTTGTAAAATGGTGATTATATTTCGAAACAAATGAACCCATCTAATTTCTTATACTTCTTTTTTTGAAGTACAATTATACCAACTATATTTTATAGGACATAATATAATACATGTTTTAGAAGTTTTTATGTAAATTATTTGAAATATAAGTTAATGGAAAATTTATTTTGGAGCTTGAATAAAAGAGAATTTCAAAGCTTGAAACATCTTTGGACTTTGTGAACACTTGTAATACAAAACAATTACTGTTTACAAAGTTTACTAGTAATACAAATACAAAGTTTACAGAGAACTTTCATATCTCTTAATTCTTGACAATGACCCTGTGATACAGGTAGAGATTATCACATGTAATTTCTTTGGTGAGTAAACCGGCTCGAAGAGCTTAGGTTATTTACCAAAATCAAATAGTAAGTGATAAAACCAGGATTTGAGCCCAGGTTTTCTCAGTCTAAATACAGGAATCTTTCTAGATTACTATGATTCTCAGTTTTTTTAACTTTTTGGTCAAGGCCATCAAAAAGAATAATTTCCAACTAATATTTGTTACCTAAGAGTTGTCCCTTGTTCTGAATTGTCAATATGAAGCTTTTCTTAAGATTAAACTTTGACTTAGCTAATAAAATTTTTGGCTTTTTTTCTCCTACCATACAATAAATTTGGCAAATAAGTTTCTTATAAACTTACCAGTATTTTGCAAATGCAACTATGCACATGTATTTAATGGTCATTTAGGTTTGTTAGCTTTTATAAAGGCTGAAAATGTGGTTTATTTGAGGCTGTATTGAAAAAATATACTTGAGCTTTTCCTAAAGCATAAAATAACATTGAGGGTGATTCAGCTAACACAATTAGTCAAGGATCCTCAAGAGAAATGTGGTTTAGATCTTTACAATATGCTTTTTTTTTTTTTAAGAGGATTTTCCCAGAGATAACATGAAATAAAATATAATCTCATTGCTATTTGGTAGTAAATCCTAGCTTCCACAGATATTCTGATGAATTGCTTTCTACTAGGTTTATTTGATTTAAAAAACTGTTCTAATATAGAGAATTTCATCTGCAGAGAAAATCTTTTCTTGGTTAAGAGTTCCTCATATAGATAAACATACTGGGTCTCACATTTAATGGCAAAGTAAACAACAAAGTTATCACACAGCTATCATTTATATTAAGTGCTTAGTATGTTCTGGGCACTATTCTAAGAAATGTGAAGATCAAATTAGTTAATTAGTTAGTTTAATCCTCACATTAGCTCTACCATGAGTTTACTATTTCTATTCCATTTTATAGGAAAGGAAGGAGACAAAGTAAGTGATTTTTCTATCAAGGAAGGAAATTTGCAAGAGAGTAGTTTCAATACAAAAACTAAATTTGTATGTAGCTCTGTATTGAAGTAGGTAGGTATAGTCAGTCTGGACATTTTATGCTTATACATCTTAGTCCCTAGGAAAACCCAGAAAACGTGAATCTATCAGGTTCAACTGATAGATTCAGAAAAGGTGGAAAAATCAGTGAATTGTATGTGAAACACATTATTCTTAGTGGACTGCTTGTTAAAGGCAAGGAGAGTGTTAGTAAAGAGCTTAGCTAGATTAGAATAAAGAAATTGTCTCTCTCCATCTGTTCTAATTAGCTTATCTCACCAGCTTTTATAGCATGCTGGTTATTTCAGAAAAGAAGTGAGAGCTACTTTGAAAGGACAACCATTTTTCTTTACGCTAATTTATAATGGTTTTGAAGTGGTTGTTCATTCTCAAACATAGACTTTTAAATGTTAGGTCTTTCCTATAACTCGTTGTTATTGGAAGTTTCAAGGATTTGGACGCTCAGTTAAGGATTTTGTCCTCTCCTCATTCCTTTGGTTTTGGCCCAAATGATTATGTTTCCTCTTTTTGGGAAGATTTCTCTGGGTATTTTGATATTTGTCCTGATAGGAGACTTTCCATCGTTAACAGGTATTTAAAAATCTGCATTTGTTTTTATCTTTCCATGTCTGTAGTATATGCTCTTCAAAAATAACATTATTTGATGTGATTGCTGCAAGAAATTGAATCAAATACTACTTTATTAATCTTTGATATTGCTTCATTTAAGCCGTTTTAAAATATCTCCAATAATTTTGGTTTTCCCTCCTCATTAGTAATTTCCGGTTTAGACCTTTTTTTATTTTGTTGAAATTGGATGTGTATTTACTTGATTTTGATAACAATCTTGAATGAAAGGAGTGGGAGTTAAATGGAAAAAGATCGAATGCTTCACTCCTCTTTTCCTCAGATACGCCTGCCTGCCTATGATTTGGGCATTGGCTTCTATATCTTAATGTAGCACAAGCGTCAGTTTTTCTTTAGTTGTTACCTTTTGTACTGTATCTTCATCATCAGAAGACTTGACTATACTTTCATTCTGTAGCACAAACCTACTTATCTTTAGAGGAGATCCAAGAACCCAAGAGTGCAGTTTCTTTTCTCCTGCCTGAAGAATCAACAGACCTTTCTCTAGCTACCAAAAAGAAACAGCCTCTGGACCTCAGAGAAACTGAAAGACAGTGGTTACTCAGAAGGCGGAGATCTATTCTGTTTCCTAATGGAGTAAAAATCTGCCCAGATGAAAGTGTTACAGAGGCTGTGGCAAATCATGTGAAGTATTTTAAAGTCCGAGGTAAGCAAACATCCAAATCCTTCAGCTCCATAATGAAATTCAAACATAGTTTAATCGTTTATTAGGTAACATTGTAAATTAAAGTTTATGATAATTTAGACAAGACTGAGCCAAAACTACCTTTCTACGGCTAAGAATATAGTGCTAATGTAACTTCAGAGAACAGTTTACATTAAGAGAGGAGGTATGTTTTTTTCCAGTGCCCTCCAACTAAGGCAATAGTAACATTTAATAGTGACATGCACTTAACCAAAGGAAGAACGTTCATGATTTGAGTTTGTAGCTTTTGGTGCGTTATGTAAGAAACTTTTTTCACATGAGGGCAGTCGCAATAAGATGTCTTTCATTAATTTCAATAACGTACTCAGAAAGGAAATGTCTTAAATCTTTTTAAGCACTTCAGAAATACCAGTTTATGTTTTGGACTACATTAATTTTAGTTTTTACTTCTTCTTTACAGTAAATGCCTAAGTACACTCACAAAATAGCTCTACCAAAGTATACTCACATGCTTGCCTATTTATTGATAGTTATTATATATACAAATATAATCAGTTTCTATATTTTATAGTTTAGATATTCTACAGATTCACACAGGTTGCTCTCTAGTTGGTACACATACAACTTTTTACATCTAAAGTGATGGCATTTCTGAAACTCACATTTTATTTTGTCTTTAATTAAACAGTATTCTTGATCTCATACTTTTTATGTAAGTCAATTCTGTTTCTCATATATTTACTAACATTGCTTAATTGACCTTAGTATGTTCCTTAGACATTTGAAGGATTCCCAAACTTTGCTTTTTACTGCTCAAGAGCCAATAAAAAGCCATAATATGGATGTGATGTTAGTAAACAAGGTGGAGATAGATGATGAAGTGATTGTAAAATTAGGCTTTTAAATTCATGCATTTATTCATTAATTCATTCAACAAATGTTCATTGAACCTGAATTTTCCAGGTACTGGATTATATGAACCTTCTGTCTGAGCTGCTACTTTATCTTCTTTATTTTCCTCTTCCTGTCCTTCCCTTCTTCCCTTCTCATCAAAGTTTTAAAAACACAATAAAAATTTAATATAATACCAGCTATTACACATATTTATATATTTGATATTTTTGTTTGTTAAAGTAGTACAATGTATTATATTGGCAGCTCTTTTTTATGAGTGTATTTCTATTTCTTGATTGTATTTGGGAGCTATCAAACATTACTGTGCAATAAGCTTTCCTTTTGCTTTTTAAAGGGAGATCCATAGACCTGGCATTTTGAATATAAGCCATATGCCAGAAATGGAAAATTCCAAAGACAGTGGGAAGAGAATAAAGGAACTGAAGGTGAATGAGAATGACAGTTAATTTATCAATATTTGATTTCTACCACCTGGATTTTTACTTTATATTATTATTATTATTATTTATTGTTACTATTTTTTGGAACAGACTCTCATTCTGTCGTCCAGGCTGGAGTGCAGTGGCATGATCTCGGCTCACTGCATCCTCCACTTCCTGGGTTCAAGTGATTCTCCTGCCTCAGCCTCCCGAGTAGCTGGGATTACAGGCACATGCCACTACGCCTAGGTTTTTTTTTTTTTTGTATTTTTAGTAGACATGGTGTCTCACTGTACTTTATATTATTTTAAAATAAAAATATCTTGGTATTTTGGGAACTGATTAAATAGTGAAGAGGAAATAACCAATCATGTAAGGGATTTGGTCATAACTTTTGATTGACTTGCTCTTGTTTTTATAAATTCAAGAGATACTGTTGAAAAAGGAGCTGACAAAAATGAAGATAAAGCATTCCTAGAATAATTGATTTTAAAATACAGATGCTATGAATAGGATCCTTGAAAAGGGATCTCATACAGCTAAGATGGTTGGCACACGACATCAAGATTATAGCTGAGAGAGCTGTTACTGGTCATGGTAAAGAGTAAATATTTCATTTGTTATGTTTTTAAAATTTGAGATAAATGAGTATTTCAACATAGGTCTCGCTTGATTTTGAAGAGATAATTGTATTATGCCCTTAACACCAAATGCTTGCAATTTAGAGGGAGGGAGTTATTCAATGTCCAACTAAGGATCTTAGCTCTTTCTACCAAGCCAATTCAGTCTAATGGTTTGCTCAATTTTTCCTTCATACAGAATTTGGTATTAATTGCTAGTTTTTGTAACAAATTTGAAAAGTGTTTCTAAGGAAGACACAACTGTATTTAACCTAATGTTTTGTAAAATTAAACAGCATACTAGGATGCCCCTCTCTTTTTTTAAAAAAAAATTCGTTGTTGGACTTTTTAAAATATAGCTTTATTGAGGTATATTTTAATGGAATATAGCCTGCATATATTTAAAGTATACTATTTCATTAGTTTTGACAAATTTACCCTTGAAACCATCTTATAGTTAAGATAATAAACCTATCAATAACTCTTAAATGTTTCTTTATGACCATTTATAATGCCCACCTCCCTCACTACCTCTCCTTACCCCAATACTGAGGCAACCATGAATTTGCTTTCTATCACTATGTATTAGTTTGCATTTTCTATATATATATATATATAAATATATTCTTTTTGGTATGTACTCTTTTTTGATCTGGTTTCTTTTACTCAGTGTAATTATTTTGAAATTTATGCATGTTTTTTGTGTATCAATAGTTTGTTAGCTTTTATTGTTGGGTGGCATTCTATATTACGGATATACCACAATATGGGATATTTGGGTTGTTTTTAGTTATTACTGATTACAAGGAAAGAAATTATGATCATTTGGGTACAAGTTTTTCTGTGAACATATTTTCATTTCTATTGAGTAATAATAGTGGAACGTCTGGGTCACATGATAGGTATATGTTTAACTTTCCAGTAAATTGCCACGTCATGATAGGTATATGTTTAACTTTCCAGTAAATTGCCACGTTTTCCAATATGACTGTGTCACCAACAGTGTAGCAGGATCCCATTTTCCTCACATCCTCACAACACTTGGTATATTTGGTCTTTTTAACTTTAGCCATTGTAGTGGATGTATATCTTATTGTGGTTTTAATTTGCATTTTCTTAACCGCTTATGACTAACAGTTTTGAGCACATTTTTAACATAATTATTTGTCATTTATAGACTTTTTCTTTTTGTGAGGAGTCTATTTGAATATTTTGCCCATTAAAAAGTGGGTTGCTTGTCTATTATTGAGTTGTAATAGTTCTTAATGTGTTCTAAATATAAGTTCTTTGTCAAACATATATTTTGCGTACATTTTTCTCGCCATCTGTAGCTTGCCTTTTCTATTTTCTTAATGATGTCTTTTAAGGAGCAGAAGTTTTAACACTTGATAAAGTCAAATTTATCAGGCTTTTTGGGGGAGCATCCTATTAGTTTTTGATCTTAGTTTGCATAACCCAAGATCACAAAGTGTTTTCTTTCTCAGTCTTTTCCTGTAGAATTTTTACAGTTTTTAGGTTCTAGATGTAGATCTGTGATCTGCTTTTATTTTTGATTATGACATATGGATCAAAGTTAATATTTTGTATATGTAGAGCTAATTGTTCCAATACCATTTGTTAAAAAAGATTATCCTTTCATGCCTTTGCACCTTTGTTGAAAATCATTGTTCATATACGGTGGATCCATTTCTGCACTCTTCATTCTGTTTCACTTATTTGTCTATTTTTATGCCAATACCATAGTGTCTTATTTACTGTAAGCTTTATTATAGGTCTTGAATCAGGTAGTGTAAGTCCTCCAACCTCTGTTCTTTTTTCAAATTTGTTTGGTTATGCAGTCTTTTGTATTCCATATAAATATTAGAATCAGCTTACCAATTTTTACAAAAGGGCTGCTGACATTTTGATTGGGATTGCGTTTCATTCTATAGATCAATTTGGGGAGAATTGCCATCTTAACAATACAGATTGACTATTTCTCATCCAAAATGCTTGGGACCAGAAGTGTTGTGGGTTTCATATTTTCTTGGATTTGTGAATATTTGCATAGACATGAGATATCTTGAGAATGAGACTGAAATCTATACACAGAATTCATTTATGTTTCATATACACCTTATACACTTATCTGAAGTAATTTTATACAATATTTTTGATAATTTTGTACACAAAATAAGTTTTTGTGCATTTAACCATCAGAAAGCAAAGGTGTCACTATTTCAGGCACTCATGTGCACAATCTGTAGCTGTTTGGCATCATCATCATTCCTGACTCTGAATTTACATGCTACAAACAAGCAATCATTTTCTTATACTTATTTACATATTAGCACTTCACAGTGAAAAGTATGCTATACTGTTAATACAGTGAAGAAGAATGTGTTCAGGGTAACTAAGCAGAACAGTGGCATCACCAGAATACCTGCCTCAGCTGTTAAACAACAGTAACAACAAACGATGGAAGGCTTCTAGTTTCTCTCTACAATTCTGTGTTTTGATTGAAGGTTCTTGTACAACATACTTTATTTGTTACTGTTGTTCATGTGTCTGGGCTGCATGGGTGCCATTTTATGACCCTTTGTGGGTGTACTTGGTGGAGTAACCTGGACATGGGCTGAAAAGATATCACACAGCTGAAGGGAACTGGGAGAGTCTTTTCTTTCCCTTGGGTACTCTGAATAAACTGTCTAGTGTACCTGCATTTTGACTATCACCCATCAAAAGAGGTCAGGTGTGGAATTCGCTACTTGTGGTATCACGCTGGCAGTCAAAAAATTTCATATTTTGGAGCATTTTGGATTTTTGGATTAGGGATGTTCAACGTATATTGAGTCTTCTGATCTGTGAATATGATATATCCCTCCATTTATTTAGGTCATCTTCAGTTTCTTTCAGGAATGTTTTGTGATTTTTATTCATTCATTTATTCATTTGTTAATTTACACATGAAACCTCATTTATACTGATTCTACCAGGTATAGTATTAACCACAATAATTAAAACACTGTAGAGTGTGCAATAGTAAAGGTATGTACAAAGTGTATATGTGGGAAGGACACAAGTGGGAATGGCCCTCCATGCCTGGGGTGAAAGAAGTTAGTTGACCTGGATTTTGAGGAATGAGTTGGCCTTTTCCAGTGAATCAGATTGGGAAACAGCCTATGGAAGGTCTCAGGACCCAAACGCTGGGCATAGTTTCATTTGTTTAAAACTTACTATGCAAGTTTAGAGTCCTAAGGAGTGAGGCCATCCACAGCCCATAATTGACTGATACATAGAGTTACTAGATTTAGCAAATAAAAATGCAGGGCACCCAGTTAAATTTCAATTTCAAATAGACAACAAATAATCTTTTTTTAGTGTATGTATGTCCCATGCAATATTTGAGCCACAGGGCTATGCAAATCTGAGTCTGAGATACAGGTTTATTGGCTCTTTGTTTTTAGGAATAGTATTCAATTTGTTAAAATCTTAGTTTCTTCACCCTTGAAATGGGAATAATAATAATATAAAATATATTTAACGGTTTTGGTGACTTTGCCTAAGAGTTCTAGGGCCATTGTAGATCCCAAATAAATGACAATGTTATTGATTGAATGGAAGGAACATATAACCAATGTTTTGTTTAGTGTATGGATCTTGCATATCTTTTATCAGATTTGTTTATAAAGATTTCACATTTTTTCATGCTATTGTTAGTGATATTTTTAAAAGTATGATTTCTGATAATTCCTTGCTAGTTTATAGAAATACAACTGATTTTTGTATATTGGCCTTTTATCCTGCAGCTTTGCTGAACTCACTTACCAGTTCTAGTAGCTTTTTTCAGTATATTCCATAGGGCTTTCTACATAGATAATTATTTCATCTGCAAATATAGTTACACTACTTAACAATTTCTATACCTTATATTTCTTTTTCTTGCCTTGTTGCACCAAAATGGACTATTCCATGTGCTTTGGGCTCCACAATTCTGAAAGGAAAATACATTACACTAATAAAAGATAATTCCATACTGGATTTCTGGATTCCTGTGTTTTAGATAAGACACAGCTGGAGATCTAGTAGAAGGATTAAAGGCAGGTTAAATGCTGGCATTCTTTTCTTCAGAATATTATAACATTTTCCCTTCCACTACTAGTTTCCAGGGCAGGTTATTTCTGCCACAAGAGAGGCCATTTGTACATTAGTTATCTTCTCAAAATAGAAAGCTCTCTTCAGAAGTTACTAAAGGCTATAATATCCTTATTTGACAAGGATGGGAATTCTGAACTGTTTAGTTATAGGCCAAGTAGTGAAGTATGCAGTATTTGTCAGTGATGGAATTTTACCTTCCTTAGTACCTCTTTGCCTGGAGGTCATGTTAATTTTGCTCTTCTCTTTTCT